TTGAGTAGGGGTGAATGTGGGAGGAGATGGAGTCTGGAATGTAACAAATCAAGTGATGAAGAAGCAGAAGTTATGAATAAACAGAAGCTACAAAGCAGAAAACGGTACTATGTGCTTATACAACAAATATTTCTAGAGTTCTTTCTTTTTATTTTTTAGGTTTGTGCCATAGAGATACAGAGAGTGGGCAAGTGAAATACAGAGAAGCAGTAAACGAGAAATCACACCCCAGGGGGATGGCCATGCCACAATCCTTCTCTATTCTCCTGTCTCGGGATTTGGGACACACACACACAAGCGTCCAGAGTGAATTTCGACCCCTCAGGTCTGGGACTTGAACCACAATCAGCCATATGGGATTCCAGTGCCCTAACACCTACGTCATCCTCTAGAGTTCTTTCTCTGAACTGGAAACTGCGTTTGGCTTTGAATAGACAAAGGAGACTCAGATGCAGACTGCCTTAGCAGCACTTGGAGAGACAAAACAATACAACAAATAAATAACTACAAATTGTTTCACAGATGGAAAAGACAAATGTGAGGCTGAGACAGAATATGCCAGGAAAGGACCTATTTAAAAAATAGCAAGTGAGATAAAGTCTCTCTGAACAGAAAAATTAAAATGAGACCTAAAGATTAAGAAGGAGGCTGCATGGCAATATCAGTGAGAATATTTGAGGTATAGGAGTGTAATGCCTCCCAGCAAAAGAAAGAGCTTATTATGTTCAAAGAAGCTGGAAAAGAAAAAGAGCCATGGGACCAGCAGAGAGTGTAATGGTTATGTCACTGGACTCTCATGTCGACTAAGGCTGAAGTCCCACACCCGACAGCTTAAATCTCATGCCAGGCGCATGTGCCTGCGTATCCAAAATCCTGAGATGAGAATGGAGAAGAGATAGTGGTGGGCATCCCCAGGGTGAGTTCTCACTTTCTGTCTCTCTGGCAAGCGCACATGCATTACAGCAAAAATCTCTCTCTAAATAAATTTAAAAAAAGAAGAAGAAAGAAAGAAAGAAAGAAAACAAAAAACAAAGCTACACGAGGGAAAAAAAGCAAAGAGAAACCTGAAATTAGTTTGGAGGGGTAAATAGGAGGCATGACACATAGGCCCCAGCAGGCCTGGGAAGGACGTGAAAATTTAGTCCAGTGTAGTGAAAAGCTATTGATGAATCTGACTCTGGACAGTGACAGTCCAGCATAGGGTGGTAGATGAGCTCAGAGGCTAGACCAACCCAGTCAATGGTGGTGACATTTACTTAGAAGGAGGAGCTCAAGAGGAGCAAGTTTGGCAGGGAAATTAGGAGTTCTATTTTAGACATGTTGAACTTGAGATGTCTGTGTGATATCCAAAAGGATGTCAATTAAAGAGTTGGTTATGTTTGGAGACCAGAAAAGTCTGGGATGAAGCTATGAATTTCAAAGTCATTAGAATAATCGGCACTTGAAAACATAGACACAGTTGAGATCTCCTAAAAAGAGAGTACACAGAAAGAAATGAAGAGAGGCAAGAAGAGTGCTGAGAAGTGAGTTCCAGGTTGGTTGGATAGGAAAGGAGAATGAGGAGAAGCCTGTGAAGAGAGAGCCAATCCAGAACAGTGTGATATCCTTGAAACCAAGAAAGGAGAGCATTTCAAGAAAATTAGGGGGACCAGCAGTTGGTGTAATGGCTATGTCACTGGTCTCCCACGTAGTCGATCACGGTTTGCGTCCTAGACCCGGTGGCTTAAAACTCACGCCGGGTGCATGTGTGTGCGTGCCCAAGATCCTGAGAGGAGAATGGAAGAGAAGGGATTGTGGCGTGACCATCGCCCCCGGGGGGGGGTGATTTCTTGCTCTCTGTCTCTCTGTCTCTCTCTGTGTCTGGCAAGCGCAGGGCTGCTGGAGGATAAATGCCAATGTATGCAAACACTCTTGCTGCAGTTTTAGAAATGCTATTTAAATATTTAAATGTTACTGTCTTCCCCACAGTAAAAGTGGAATCAGTGATAACCTGAGACCTGCCTTCTGGAGAGCAGCTGTTGGGGAACTTAACCCTTACCTAAGGCCTGGTTAACTATGGGTTGCTGCTGCTGCAACAACGTGCGCTCAGATATCAATCACTGTGTCTATTAATCTTTCATTCTCACGAAAAGGCAGCCCTGTGCAGACCATCCTCACATATGCCCTGCCCTAAACAGCTGCTTGGACTAGGACCAGGAATATAACCCACAGGCAAGAGACCCCTGGGCTTTCCAAGGATCTATAAATGTGGCCATATTCCTATAAAATGAGTTGGACAAATCAGTATTTCTCTCTCAGAAATTTGAGTTGGGAAACTTGATGAAGTGATTGAGGCAATGAGCAGCAATAAAAACTATGATGAACAGGATGAAAGAGGGAGGCCATGAGGTTGAGTAGGGGTGAATGTGGGAGGAGATGGAGTCTGGAATGTAACAAATCAAGTGATGAAGAAGCAGAAGTTATGAATAAACAGAAGCTACAAAGCAGAAAACGGTACTATGTGCTTATACAACAAATATTTCTAGAGTTCTTTCTTTTTATTTTTTAGGTTTGTGCCATAGAGATACAGAGAGTGGGCAAGTGAAATACAGAGAAGCAGTAAACGAGAAATCACACCCCAGGGGGATGGCCATGCCACAATCCTTCTCTATTCTCCTGTCTCGGGATTTGGGACACACACACACAAGCGTCCAGAGTGAATTTCGACCCCTCAGGTCTGGGACTTGAACCACAATCAGCCATATGGGATTCCAGTGCCCTAACACCTACGTCATCCTCTAGAGTTCTTTCTCTGAACTGGAAACTGCGTTTGGCTTTGAATAGACAAAGGAGACTCAGATGCAGACTGCCTTAGCAGCACTTGGAGAGACAAAACAATACAACAAATAAATAACTACAAATTGTTTCACAGATGGAAAAGACAAATGTGAGGCTGAGACAGAATATGCCAGGAAAGGACCTATTTAAAAAATAGCAAGTGAGATAAAGTCTCTCTGAACAGAAAAATTAAAATGAGACCTAAAGATTAAGAAGGAGGCTGCATGGCAATATCAGTGAGAATATTTGAGGTATAGGAGTGTAATGCCTCCCAGCAAAAGAAAGAGCTTATTATGTTCAAAGAAGCTGGAAAAGAAAAAGAGCCATGGGACCAGCAGAGAGTGTAATGGTTATGTCACTGGACTCTCATGTCGACTAAGGCTGAAGTCCCACACCCGACAGCTTAAATCTCATGCCAGGCGCATGTGCCTGCGTATCCAAAATCCTGAGATGAGAATGGAGAAGAGATAGTGGTGGGCATCCCCAGGGTGAGTTCTCACTTTCTGTCTCTCTGGCAAGCGCACATGCATTACAGCAAAAATCTCTCTCTAAATAAATTTAAAAAAAGAAGAAGAAAGAAAGAAAGAAAGAAAACAAAAAACAAAGCTACACGAGGGAAAAAAAGCAAAGAGAAACCTGAAATTAGTTTGGAGGGGTAAATAGGAGGCATGACACATAGGCCCCAGCAGGCCTGGGAAGGACGTGAAAATTTAGTCCAGTGTAGTGAAAAGCTATTGATGAATCTGACTCTGGACAGTGACAGTCCAGCATAGGGTGGTAGATGAGCTCAGAGGCTAGACCAACCCAGTCAATGGTGGTGACATTTACTTAGAAGGAGGAGCTCAAGAGGAGCAAGTTTGGCAGGGAAATTAGGAGTTCTATTTTAGACATGTTGAACTTGAGATGTCTGTGTGATATCCAAAAGGATGTCAATTAAAGAGTTGGTTATGTTTGGAGACCAGAAAAGTCTGGGATGAAGCTATGAATTTCAAAGTCATTAGAATAATCGGCACTTGAAAACATAGACACAGTTGAGATCTCCTAAAAAGAGAGTACACAGAAAGAAATGAAGAGAGGCAAGAAGAGTGCTGAGAAGTGAGTTCCAGGTTGGTTGGATAGGAAAGGAGAATGAGGAGAAGCCTGTGAAGAGAGAGCCAATCCAGAACAGTGTGATATCCTTGAAACCAAGAAAGGAGAGCATTTCAAGAAAATTAGGGGGACCAGCAGTTGGTGTAATGGCTATGTCACTGGTCTCCCACGTAGTCGATCACGGTTTGCGTCCTAGACCCGGTGGCTTAAAACTCACGCCGGGTGCATGTGTGTGCGTGCCCAAGATCCTGAGAGGAGAATGGAAGAGAAGGGATTGTGGCGTGACCATCGCCCCCGGGGGGGGGGGGATTTTTTGCTTTCTGTCTCTCTGTCTCTCTCTGTGTCTGGCAAGCGCACGTGCCCTATAGCAAAAACCTCTCCAAAAAAAAAAAAAAAGAAAATTAGATCAGCTGAGTGTGGAAAGATCACATAAGACAAGAATAGAAAAATAGTGGTTACTGTGGCCCAGCCTAGATGGCATAGTCCCTTGGGTACTGGACTGCAGTGCTGGAAGCCACATGAAGACCACAGGTTTGGATCCCTCAGATGGCCTGAAAACACACGGGGCATGTGCGTGCACACATTCAAGATCCTGAGGAGCTAGAGGGCTCGGGAAAGAGGATCATGGCATGACGAGATCCTTTCAAGGATGATTTCTCTCTCTCACATACACACCAGCACGCGTGCATACTCTCTATCAAAAAATAAGAAAAAAAGAAAGAAAAGAAAAAAGGAAACAAAGGGCTGGCTCCATATCACAGTGGCTAGGTGCTGTGCCTTAGAAACCAGATCCCCCGTGGCCAACCATGGTTCAAATCATGGCCACAGCGATGTGAAAAACATGCCAGGTATATGTGCTTCTGTGCCTAAAATCCTGCCATGAAGGAAGAATGGAGAAAAAAGTATTTCAGCATGACCACGCCTCACTGGGGGGCGTGTTCTCTCTCTGGTAAACATACGTGCTCTTTGGCAATAATACACATCCATACACACAAAGGAAAACAAATTGATCCCTGATGACCTTGATAGGAGTACTTTCAGTGAGGTTGAGAGCCTAAGTAAGAACCATATAGGCTGAAGAAGAAAATAGAGAAGTGTTCACTCTGATAGCACTTAAACTAAAAGTGGAACAATACAGAAAAAATGAGCATGACCCCTCCACATAGATGACACACAAATCTGTGAAGCATCCCTAATCCTTTTGGTTCGGATTTGAATTTGGGGACAATGTTAACTTTTACACATTCAAAAAGAAAGTGAAATCAATGAGAATGGAAGAGATTGTAGAACTGAATATCACAGAAACAAATGAATCTATGCTTAAATCAATAATGTAACCACTTTGAAGAAAAACTAATCTAAATATTTTTGAACCTAGGACTTGGAATATACACCTTTAGTCTCTAAACACAACTGCAAGCAATCTTGAACCTCAGTTAGCAGGTTGTTCTTGGTAGTGGAATGGATTGAGCAATTCTGAAATCATTTTGTGTGTATCATAGCATTGAGTAAATGAATAAAGACATCGATTTGATTAGGAGCCAGAGTTCTCACTGTGAGGAGAGAGAGATGCAAATAAGGAATGGAAGAAAGAACCTTGTGGTGTTGAATTGGAATTCAAGATATCAGTAATGAATTCATGATTAAAAAAACTAGTTTAACTGAATTAAATTACCATCCCCCCAAACACCTCCCCACCAGCTCTGTTTTCCAAGAGGGCATTAAAGCAATTACACCCAGTAGTAATGAGCATATTTGGTGCCCAGATCTTGGTTTCTAAATACTATTTCCCACTAAAAGAAGTGTTCTTTGGCCAAATGGCTGATTTCAAGGGCTAGGCAGGAAAAGTACAAGAGAAAGCCTGGAACATCTCACACCAGAAGCAAGGAAGCACTAAACCAACAAAAAACAGATGATAGGGACATGTTAAAAAGACACAGAAGCCAGCTCAAAGAGGCTCTCTCTGGGGCCGGCAGGTGGATAGGACATGGCCAACTCCATGGTGTGAGTCCCAGATCCCGAAGCTTTAGAAGTACATAGGGCAGATTTGTGCATGTGTTCCCAAAATCCCAAGAGGAGAATGGAAGAGAAAGGACTGTGGCATGACCATCTTCCCTGAGGGGTGATTTCTCGCTTTCTTTCTGCCTTTTTCTGGGGAGTACATGAGTCCTATAGCCAAAACTTACATGCACATATGTACGGGCACATTAAATCCTATTTAATAGGATTATAACTTATTAAATAAAATATGAATCTACGCATTTATACTGACAATAATTAAATATGTAAATAAATAAGAGCGAAGGGAAAAATTGTGCTTATAGTAGAATGCTAACTAAGAGATATAGATGGAATGACGGCGTTAGAAAATCACCATTTTGCAACTACAGTGGTCTTCCCTTATGTGTAGTTTTTATTAAATGGAAAATTTCAGAAATAAACAATGCACATTTTAAATTGCTCCTGCACTGAGTATCATAATTAAATCTCATACTATCCTTTCCCCTCCTGCCCTGAACTCGAACACATCAAGTGCATCCACAGTGTTACTCCCCTATTAGTCACTTAGTAGCCACCTTGGTTATTGGACCAGAAAGAGAGAGAGAGAGAGAGAGAGATTGGATCTGGTATTATTTGTGATTTCAAGCATCGACCAGGATGGGTCTTAGATGTATTCTCCACAGATAGAGGGAGACTACTCTAGCAGAGTAATTGATTCAGACAAGAATAATCAATGTTAAGGACATCAGGCAAACGTTTGAAGAGGAGCAAGATAGTTACATAATCTCAAAGTACTCATTACTTACATAGAAAAAAATGTTAACTTTACAGGGAAGAAACCTAGCGGATACCACATTTTTTTCTTTTTAAAGAATTATTTATTTAGTTTTATTTGTTATTATATTATTGTTATTTTAAGTTGCTATAGGGCACAGGTGGTCACCAGACAGAAATAGAAAGGGAGAGACCACGCCACCTGCTGGTCCCCTTTTTTTTTTTAAATTTTTAAAGAATTACTTTTATTTAACTTTATTTATTATAATTTTTTTAGAGGTTTTTGCTATAGGGCACGTGTGCTCACCAGAAAGACAGAGAGAGACAGAGACAGAAAGCAAGAAATCACCCTCCCCGGGGGGATGGCCGTGCTGCAATCCCTTCTCCTCCATTCTCCTCTCGGGATCTTGGGCACGCACACATATGTGCCTGGCGTGAGTTTAAGGCACTGGACACTCCCACATAGCTAACCACGGTGCAAGTCCTGGACCTGGTGGCTTATTTTCTGACTTTTCCTCTCTCTGTCTCTGATCAAATTAAAATGAATAAATAAAATTAAATAAAGAATTCTATATATATGTATATACATAATCAGCTGTTGAAAGAGAACACCATCAGTATGGAACCATATGACATAAGTTTCTCCTCATGTGATGCACTGAGAAGGGCACAGCATACACTGGTAGTAACTCTATCACCCCCTCCCCCCCCCAAAAAAAAACTAATCTAATCATGAGGAAACATGAGACAAACTCAAACGGGGAAATTCTACAGAAAACTTAACCAATGTACTCTTTAAAAATATAAACAGTATGGGTCAGCAGATGGCGTGGTTGGTTAAGGTGCTGGAGTCCCTTGTGCCTGACCACAGTTCGAGTTCCATGCCTGGAGGCTTGAACATCACACTGGGCATGTGTACGTGCATACTCAAAATCCCAGGAGAAAAATGGAGGAGAAGGGATTGTAGGATGGCCATCCCCCCTGGGAGGTGATTTCTCATTTTCCCTCTCACTATCTCTCTCAAGTGAGTACACATACCTATGGCAAAAACCTTTAAAAAGAAAAAAAAGAATATTATGAACAACATTGACAGACTGGGGAACTATTTTAGATTAAAGGTATGACAGTTAAACATGATGGATTACCTGGATTAGGCACAGGGTTAGACCCTGGATTAGAGGAAAAATTGCTGGATGAGACTTAATTGGGCCATCAGTGAACTTCCTTTTTATAAGAGTTATTTTATTTAGCTTTATTTATTATTATTGTTACTATTAATTATTATTTTCCAGTTTGATCAGAGAGACGGAAAGTAAGGAAGCAAACCACCAGATTCAGGACTTGAACCACAGTTGGCCATGTGGGAGTTCAGTGCCATTAACCACCACTCCACCTGTTGGTCCCAGGCCATCAGTAAACTTTTTTTTTAAGAATTATTTTATTGAAGTTTATTCATTTAATTTATTTATTTTAATTTAACCAGAGAGGGACAGAGAGAGAGTGAGAGAAAGAAGGAAAGTGAGAAAGCAAGCCGCCAGGTCCACGACAGGAACCATGGTCAGCCATGTGGGAGTCTAGCGTTCATAATCACCAAACCACCTGCCAGCCCCTCTTTTTTTTTTTTTTTCCATTATAGACTTTCTCTGAACTAAAGATCTGACTTCTGGGTTTTTTAAAATTTTTTAAAAGTTTGACCATAGGGCACATGTGCTCACGAGAGAGATAGGGAGACAGTAAGAGAGAAAGTGAAAAATCATCTACCTTGGGGATGGCCATGGCACAATCCCTTCTCTTCCCATCTCCTCTCTTGAGATTTTGGGCACGCATCTACAGAAACCCAAGAGATTTTCAAGACATAGGTCTGGGCCTCGAAACATGCTTGACCACGTGGAAGTTCAGTGGCTTAACTACCATACCACCTGCTGGTCCCTGCTATCAGTGAACTTTGAATATGGACAGTATATAAGGATGATAACATTAAATTTCCTAAAATTGATCATTGTATTGGATGGGTATGTAGGTATATACAAGAATGCCCTTGTTATTAGAAATCACAATAATTTATACCTAATACCCTAGGACTTAAGAATAAATACTACAAATCAAATGGTTCAGAAAATACTATGGATTTGGGTATATGCATATACGCATGCTCTCACACACATCATGTGGTAAATTACTAGCTTCTACTGTATCTGGAATTCTTGGTAATATTCTTACAGTTCTTCTCCAAGTTTGAAAAGATTTCAAAGTAAAAAGTTAAAAACTAAATTGGAAATGAGGAAGTAGAAACAGTCTGTAGACAACTCTTGAAAAGCTGGTCGTGAAGAGAAGTGAAATTGAGCCAGAGTGAGAATCTGGGTCATAACACAGCTCTTTAAAAACAGGAGAAACTAGAACAGCTTTGCTCACCGATGAGAATCAGGATGGGGCTCAAGTCTGCTCCCACCCCTTCCTCCTTTTTTTTTTTTTTAAGGTGAGGGAGTTAGATCGGTTCTCTAAGGCCTTTTCCACTTCAGGTCCTCTGTGACTCTCCTGCCTTTAGACACTACAAGTCTACAGAAAACACATTTTATTACTTACACTGCCTGCAACCAGGAGAACACATGTGGGCCACCACCACTTGAGGGCAGTACAAAATGATGCTACAGCCACTCTGGTGGTTTTATTGCTTCAGCTGCGGGTGGAACAAAACAAAGCCTTTCACATGATCTTTTCTCAAATGTGCTAGGTGAAATCAAGCTCCTGTGGACACATCACTTTCTCCAAATGTTTTAGATAAGAAAAGTTTAACGTAATTCCTAACAGCAATTTGAGGAGAGGAGTAAGTGGGTGAGACGGTCTCATACCCTGGGAAGATGCTGGCACGAATGATAGATTTAATAGAGAATGCCTGAAGAGTCAAAAAAGACCCTAGCAGATGAATACAACCCTTTCATCTTATTGGCAGGACCTTATGTCCAGAGGAGGGAAGGGGCCTGACCAAAGTTGTAGTGACATGTTAGCCAGAGTAATCATTTTAATACTCTCATTGTTAGTCTCGGAAGACAGACGTTCTGATATTTAATTTTTATTTTTTTTAATTTGCTAGAGGTCATGTGTGCTTGCTGGAGTCAGGCAGAGAGAAAGTACACCCTATGAAGGAGGTCACTCTGTAATCCCTTCTCCTCCGTTTTTCTGTCTTTCAGGATTTTGGGTGTGTGTGCACATGTGCCTGGTGTATTTCTCAAGCTCCTGATTCTGGAACTCAAATCACATAGTTGGCCATGTGGGATCCAGTCATCTTAATCACCAGACCATGGGCTGCCACTGTTATTTTCAAGTGATATCATAAATACACCTTGCAGAGAGATTGACCCCATTATTGGTATTGAACTGAGTTCCTGAAAAATAAAACTATGACACCTCAGTCACAAGGTTGCATCT